GGCTAATTTTAATGTGTCAGCCTTATTGGGCACATCATTCCTGATTCTCAGGAACTTTGGACTTGGGCTTGGAACATTGTCAATAGTTTTTGAGGGCTTCCAGCTTGCAAACCACAGAGAGTGGGACTTCTCAGCCTCCATAAATCACTGTAATCCCAGTGGCTCTGGAGGCTGAGGCAGGAGGATTGCAAGTTTAAAGCCAGCCTCAGTCAATCCCTCACAGTACATCTTTCTATATATCCTGTTCTGTTTCTCAGGAGAACACTGACTAATATATCTGGGGAGAATTGACATACTATTGAGTTTTCCAAACTATTTCCTTCCAGTTATCAAAATCTTCTTTAATTTCTATAATAAAATTTCATCATTTTCATTGTGAAGCAGCGATTTATTCACCACAACTCAAATGGGTTAGGGGCCTTCTGGGCCAGACATAGTGGGGCAAGAACTTACTGAGAGGTGTAATGAAGAAGCTGAAAGTTCAGAAGTGATGAAAGATTCCACTAAGTAAAGTAACAGTTTTAAGAGTTTTACAGTGGGCAGCAATAGCCTGGTGCATAGCATCATAAGTGATAGACAGTAAGTAGCCTTGTGTCCAGCAGCAGGGATGCCAGGGATCTGCAGAGTGATGCTGTGCTGCAGCCTATCATGTGACCATTATTCAGCAGCAATTGTTCATGAGGTCCTCCTCAAGTGACTATTACTAAAGCATGATGCTGTCATCTTTAAATGTGAAAAGCGCATTGGGTCTGAACCCAGGCCAAGTTCACCTTCTAGGCCCTCCCTCTTCCATTTCTGGAAACTTCTCCAGCCTGCTAGCATGCCTTTTCAGCACCTTCACATTTAGTCAGAACCTCCTCTTGCCATCCACATCTAGACCTGCCTTATCCTATACTTCTCCACAGTACCATAAAAGAACCTCAAATCCTCCTCCTTCCCATTTCCTTCCTTTATTCTTACTTAGAGTATTTAGGTGTTCAGAAGAAGTGGATAGAGGATTCAGTCCATATCCAATAGTTAGGTAAGTATTTCTCAAATTAGGGGTGAAACATATAATCCTAGAGGTTTGAGAGGTCTATGGGAATTATATAATGATTGTTGATATTTATTGAGCACTTACTATGTGTCAGGTGCTATTTGGAAAGTTTTACTCATTGCCTTCACTATAAGCCTATAAAGCAGATGCCCCAATCTCCATTTAACAGATTAGTAAACTGAGCAATGTGTCCTTATCCCTATCAAACAGCTGAGCAATCACAGAAATAATGATTTATTGGCCCAATGTTGGACAATTAATAAATGATAGTGTAAGGACCCCTATCCGGGCAGCCTGTGTCTAGAGTTAATGCTTTCAATTACTTTGTCATGTTGTCATTTGAGGCTTGATTGGAGATGGATGGTTCAAGATGATCTCGTGCATATATCTGGAAGTTACTGGAAGATGTTGTATGGGACCTCCTCCTCCAAGTGGTCTTTCCAGCAGGCTATTTCAAATTTTTATATGGCAGCTGGATTCCAAGAGGGTAAATGTTATGTGGAAAAGTATCTTGATGCAATGGCAGCCTCTAACTGTACCACCAGTCTGGCTGTCCCAAAGGCCACAGAACAGATAGGTACATAGACCTAATTAAGATGCTTGAATCAAATATTATCTATACAGCAATTTTAAAACATGCCTTCACATTATTTGGCATTGTTCCCATTGAGAGGTAGGACTATATTCCTTTTCCTTGAGTCTGGGCTGGCCTTAGTGGCTTGCTTTGTAGCCAACAGAATACAATGAAAAGTAATGCTGAATGATTTCCAAGGATAGGTCAGAAAAGTCCATGAGCCTGGTTCTTTTCAGACTCTGGGGAGAAGCCAGTTGTCAGGTGAGAAATTTGCCATGCTAAAGAGGCTATGTGAAGGAACTTTGTATTTCCAGCCAGTTCATATTAACTGTCAGACACATGAGTGAGCCTTTGTATATGTCCAGCCCAGTTGAACCTCAGTTAATGTCTGATTGCCACTATATGAGAGACTTCAGTAAAGAACTGCCCAAAACAAGCCCCTCCCAGGTTTCTGAGCCACAAAATCATGAGCAAAATAAACTGGTTATTTAATCTGCAAAATGTTGTTGTAATATCTTCAGAGCAATAATAGTAATCAGAACAGTTCACCAACCAGTGTGTAAGAAGAAGTGCAGATTAACAAATTTAGGACAGGCTGCAAGGACTATAATACCTAAATTATGTTTTATGCAAACATCATATGTCTTGTCCTTCTCTGGTCTTCCAGCAAGCTGGGTTTTTGTTTCTGGAGAGTTGGAGAGTGGGCAAGGAGGTTCAGCAGATTAAAGGGCCTGGACCCAACATACATCTGTTCTGTGGAAGAGATGAGCAAGTGTGTCTGGCCATAACTGTAGCTGACCATTAGCTCAACTGTTTCACTGCCTTTTTTTTTTTTTGTACTCACTGGCATTTAACTACTGAGCCACATCCCAACCCTTTTTAAATTTTATTTAGAGACACGGTCTCACTGAGCTGCTTAGTGAGACTTGAGCTTAGCCTCATTTTTGCTAAGGCTGGCTTTGAACTCGGGATCCTCCTGTCTCAGCCTCCCAAGCCATTAGGATTACAGGTGTACGTCACCGTGCCTGACAGTCTGTGCCTTCTTAATAATTAAAGACCACTCACCTTTCTACCCCTTTCTGTAAAGCAGAACTCTCATCTGCTCCATTCTTTTTATCTATGCTCAACACATATTCATTTATTCTAGGTAAAACATCTCATAAATAACTTGCTTCTACATTTTAGTTTTCTCACTGCATTACAACAGAATGGAATATTCTTAAATAATGCAACAAAGGCATTGGAGTAAGCATGTGCTTATCAGATAAGGTTCATGATGTCTCATTTATTGGTCAAAGCAAGTCATGTAAGTTGACAGTTAATGTGGAAATGGACTACACAAGGGAGTTGATAACAGCAGGTGGAATTCATTAATTCATAGGGAATTACTATTGTTAACAATCTACTATTAACACATGGCCAGGCAATGGTTGTTCCAAGGATCAAATTTTCAGCAATCTGTCTCTGGACTCCACACCCTAACCCAATGTCCTACAGGCTGCTGGGAATGAGTTCTCACAGAGAAGCTTTTTCAAGCCTTACTCTCCAGGCCCCAACCCAAGTCCAATGAATCAGAATCTCTTAGGCATACGGGGTATTTTTAGGTTGGATGAGGTGATAATCTCAGGTACCTGAGACAAAAATAACAGCAGAAGATCCAGTAAACATGGAGGGGGATTTCAAAGACAAAGAGTTCTTGTACTCAAAAAGCCATCCTTTTCTATAGAGTGCATTCATAATTATCATTATTACATAATGGAAGTGAAATTTTTAAAATTTGCTTTGCATGGTTTAGAGCAGTTCTCAAACTCTGGTGTGCATCAGTTTTACCTCAAGCATTTGTTAAAATACAGTGACTGAACTAGCCTACATACTTCAGATCATCTCTAGATAACACATAATACCAAATATGTGTAAATAGTTGTTATGCTGTATTGTTAAGGAAATGACAAGAATAAAAGTCTATATACATGCTCAGTGCAGATGCATCTCTTTCCAAATATTTTTTTTTTCTGAGGTTGGTTGAATCTACAGATTCAGAACCCCAGATAGAGGCTGGCTGTATTGCACCGACATATTTATAGCACATCTACTACACATATGGGCTGGGAGCATAGTGGATAAGGATGGGATTTAGATCTACATTACACTTGAGCAGATTTATTGTCTAAGTGGATTTATTCTCTAAGACAGGGTGCCTAAGTATCATTAGAAGCGATCTTCTCTTTCCCTGTAAGAGATAAGGCAAAGCTCCACGGAGCAGGAGACCCTTTGAAACAGGCCTTGAAGTTGCCTAGGACTCGTGGAAATCACAGAGAATCACAGAATTCTTTCCGTCCTGGCATGGAGAGAGGGAAAAATCACAATCAACCACCCAAAAAAGGTCTGTGACATTCTTGCCTCAGGCTCCAGCATTGGCAATCCTCAAGCAGCCCGCTGTCGTCAGACCAGGGAAGAGCATTCTTCGCCTCAAGGTCTCCGGGCTCAAGCCCTCCTTGGGAACGGGTAGAACCGGCCTTGCCTTCTCCAGGGAGCACTCGGCAGTTGCCTCAGCGCCCTGCTGTCTGGCTGCGGTGGGCGCTGACCCGAAGAAGGGCGCAGCTCGGGCGTTTCATTTCCCAAAGGCCTAAGCTGGGAGCTGTGACCTCACCAGGCTCCGAGTGGCCAGCGCCAGGAGAGTGAGGCCGCACGCTGGGGCACCGCTCAAAAGGCTTCCACATTTAGGATGGTGGTGGGGTGGCCCAGGCGGCAGTTGCACAACCGGCTGGCAAGGGGCCCCGAACTCTTTTTCCATGCGGTGGGTTTAAACGTGGCGGCTGCCAGCACAGAGAGCACAAGCCCGCCTTCTTCCACCTCCACGCACCGAGAAGGTAGGGACGCGTGTGCGCAGTCCCCGGGCCCCCTACCCCCAGCATGGCTGGCGAGCCTGCGCTGCGCCTGCGCGGCCCCGCCCACGTCCTGCCCCTTTCGCTTCGTCCCGCCCTGTTACCCCCTGTACCACCACTAGGGGTAGCGGCGGCGGCTGCGGCCTGAGAGCGCGGCTGCTTTGAGGGCGCAGGAGCCGCACAGAGTCGGGACAAGGGAAGGCAAGAGGGTGGGAAAGCCGGCTGGAGAGGAGGGCGGTGCCCGAGGAGGGCGGCGCGTGGCTGACTCATCCCTCTGGAAGAGCAGACTGACAGACACACACTAGCCGAGCCCGCCCGCGCCGCTCCTCCTCAGCCGGGAGGCGCCCGCCCGCACCACCCGCCCGCCCTCTCCGGGAGCTCTCCGGGCCCGGCCGCCTCGGAGAAAGTTTTTCTCTTCGGAGAGGCCGGAACCGTCGCTTGCCTTTTGGAAGGAACGGGGGGACGGAAAGGGAGGCGACCGCCGCGCGGGCCCGCGGAGTGCATGGTGCCCGGCGCCTCGGCTGCCTGTCAGGAGGACCTCGGGGCGGGGTCGGGCTGAACCAGCTCCCTGCTCTCGACCCAGCCTTGTCAGAAGTCGCCCTCCGGGACTGCCGCGGGGGTCCCCGCTCCTCAGCCCGCCATGTCTCGGTTGCTGCCGCTGCTGAGGAGCCGGACCGCGCGCAGCTTGAGGCCGGGCCCGGCAGCCGCCACCGCGCCCCGCCCGCCGTCCTGGTGCTGCTGCGGGCGGGGGCTGCTGGCGCTCGCGGCCCCCGGAGGCCCCCGGAGGCTGGGCACCCACCCCAAGAAGGAGCCCATCGAGGCGCTGAACACGGCGCAGGGCGCGCGCGACTTCATCTACAGCCTGCACTCCACCGAGAGGAGCTGCCTGCTCAAGGAGCTGCACCGCTTCGAGTCCATTGCCATCGCCCAAGGTAAGGGGGCGCTTGGGGGACGGGCCTGGGCCCGGCACCCTCCCTCCTCGCCCCCCCCTCCCCCGGGAGCCCACCTCCGCCTGCCACCCTGGCCCGCCTGGCCTCGCGCCTGGGACGGCCGAGTGGGGGGGCACTTTCCACCTCCCGAGTGTCCCCAAGGCAGGTAGGACGCGCGCGGATGGTGCCAGGCAGCTGGGGCCAAGTCTGACTGGTTTCTCCCAAGCCTCAGAATCTAGAGCTTCAGCCTAGAATGCCAGCCCACACCGCTGGGATTTTGTTTTGATTTGCCCTGTGCCACCCCTCCCCAGCTCTCCTGCCTAAGGCCCTTGCTGCCTTCTTGGCGAACGTGCACCTTTGCAGGTGGCATGCCCTGCCTGCCCGAGAAAGTGCTGCAAAAGACAGGCAGGAAGAAACTTTGCTAAAGGGTTAGCAAAGAAGATGTATGGGCTCTCCCCCCACCCCCAAAAGGGGTGTAGCTTCCCAAGGCTGTGATGCTCTCAGCTGCTTGTTTCCACATGCATCTGGTTGTATTAATCAATGTAAGCAGACGAAGGAAACATGTTTCTAGGAAATGGAAAGAATGGATCTGAATCAGCAACTGCAGTTGAATTAGAATCCCTGGGAGGTTCAAGTTTAACTCTGGGTTTTGTTTCGCCAGAGTTCAAATGACATAAATAAGGTATTTAGGAGGGGGAGAAAATCTGTAGTTCTACAATAAAAAGCATATTTTTGCTTTAAAATATTTTTGGAAGGGTGAAAGCAAAGCTATTTTTAAGCAGACATGTTAAAATAGGATATTTTTAAAACAAGTGCAGCAGTGGTAGGTCAGAATTTGAGTCTAGGTGAAAAGGCTAAAAGTTCAGAAAAGCTAAAAGCTGAGAAAGTACCAAAGGGTCAAAATGGATTCAGACTTAAAATACTTTGGCCACTTGAATACTCTTATGTACACAGCAGCTTGCTGTTATTTTCTATTACATTCTGATGTGTTTGAAAGCTTTTAGAAGTTCTTTAAAAAACTTTTTTATATGATAGGCATATAAACATTCCATAGATTCTTAAGTTTAGAGCACATTGAATTGGAACATGGCATTTGATTTGCTAGAGGTACTTCCAAGTGTATCCTCGGCTGATGTGCATGACTTATCTTTACTACTACAGAAACTTTTTATTGTACCTTTTAACCACTTTTTTTTTGCAGGGGGAGGGGCTTAGTTTGTGGAATTGTGGACCCATGTAAAGTATCGGATGATAGTCAAGACTATTTGAACACACATTTTGCCTTTTCTTTTTTTGAAAGGTCAAGTATTTTATTTTTAAAATTGTTAAAATTTTTAAAATTCTAATTTGTTATTATGACAGCAGAATGCATTACAATTCATAGTACACACATAGAACACAACTTTTCATATCTATGGTTGCACACAAAGTAGAGTCACACCATTTGTGTCTTCATACATGTACTTAGGGTATTTATGTCCATCTCATTACACTGACCTTCCTACCCTCATTCCCCCTCCCTTCCCCTCCCTCACCTTTGCTCTATCTAGAGTTTGTCTAATCCTCCCATGCCCCCAACCCCAACCAGCCCCATTATGAATCAGCATCCATATATCAGAGATAACATTAATCATTTTGCCTTTTCTAAGAAATTTCTTGGAAATTCTGCATTGTCAATATGTTGCTGAATTGAAATGCCCTATGAATATAATCTTTTGACAGTTATTAAAAAGCATATCCCACAGTATGACTGGTTACATTTTTATCTCATTATTGTTTTTGCACATGCTTGCATTCTACATTTTCATAGTCATTCTACATTTTCCAGTGAAGATAATATTTTAAGATTTAACATAGTATAAAATATTCTAGAAAGAATCCCCAAACTTCAGTCAGTGGAGACCATTAGCATAAATTAGACTGTGTGTAGTTATATGGGAAAAAAATTGGTAATTCAAATTGTTTTTGTTCAGGAGAAACAAGCAACTTCATAGGAAACAATGTAGTGGCCTAATGCTCTTCTTCTGTTTAGAAGCTGAAGAACTTCAAAGGTTAAATCGGCTATTTTTCCTTATGTTACTGACTAAATTATTACCTTTTGAATTAAGTGACACTTAGAGATGTGGCTGCTTTAGTTTTTAGTGCAGTCTTGGTGTTCACTTATTATTTTCAGTATCAAGACATGTAGTAATTATGGAGATAAGTAGAATCATCGTTTAATAAATTACCTTATTCATTAATTATGTAAGGTTAAAAGGATTTTACTGTGTTGGGAATGCATATCATTCATTTTATTGCTGAAATCAACATATTTTTTTTCTTCAGCAGACAAAAATTCCCATATTTCTTTTGTTTTTGCTTTTTGAATAATGTTTTTAAATACCCAACTAATATACTAAATGTATGTGTACTAAGTACACTTTCTAATGAAATACACTATTTGTTAAAAGGACTGTTTTTTATCATAGGAAATTTTATGTCCTTGGAAAAGGTGCTTGTGTGATCTAATGAAGTGTTTTGATTTAGGTATGGAAAAAGAAAAAATCATCTATGCTGTGACATGGTCAATAAAATCTGCTGAAATTTGGTACATTTACTCTTATCTTTTTACATGTTTATCAGTAAGCATTTGGTATAGTTGGTGACAAAATAAAGCTTTAGAATCAATTTGTAGTATATAAAGCAGACTCTGTGGGATGTCTTATAGTTAAATAGGATATTGTGATTTTCAAATTGCAGACTGATTCTCTTCCCAATTAAAACAAAAAGTGTATGTTGCCCTCTTACTTTACCTGCTCAACTTAATTTCTTTCCTTCCAGAAACAGGCCATATTCTGCTAAACGTCCTTGGTTCATTGTTACTACAAGTAGGACTGGCAAACTAAGATTTTCAGAGCTGCCTTTCAATATTAACCAAGATTTTTAAAACACATTTCCTAATTTTTGTAATTAATAGTTCAAAAATTTAAAAAACGATTAAAATACAACACTTTGGTTCTGAAAAATGGCAGTGCACATTGTATTAATAGTTATCCATTACTGTATAACAAATTATCCCTAAACACAACAGCTTAAAACAAGCATGTATCATCTCACAATTTCTGATGTTAAGGAATTCTAGAGCAGCTTGGTTGGGTATTTCTGGCTCCTAATCTCTCATGAAATTGAAATACAGCTTTCCGCTGGGGCTGTATCATATGGAGTCTTGACTAGGGCTGGAGGATCCATTTCGAAGCAAATCTACATGGCTATTGGCTGAAAGTGTCAGCTCTTTGCTCGTGGGCCTTTCTACAGGGATACCTGAGTGTTTTCTAGCCATGGCTGCTGTTTATCTAGAATAAGTGAGAGAGATCCTAAGCTGGGAATTATCTTTTTAAACACAGTCTTAGAAGTAACAAAGCTTCTCTTTCACTGTGGCACATTGTGGGAAGGTACTTGCACAGTGTGTGAATGCCAAAGGGGTGGGAATCCTTAGGGGCTGACTTGGACATTGGCTCCCACAGTTACATGAGATTTGTAATTAATGCTTATCTAGAGTTTCCCAGAGAGACAAGAGTTGCTGATTGGGGTGGTACAATGAGAGATACGATTTGAAAGAAGTCTCTTAGCGAATATTTTTGTTAGATGTGCACTAAGATGTCTTAATAAAGATTATTTTTACATATAGCAAATAAAAGTTGTATTGAAGTGAATAGAGCAGTTTTTCCACCAATAATAGAGTTAGCTTTTTTTTTGTTTCTCTGTGTAAGTCATAATTTTGTACTTAATTTTTTTTATTATGTCTATATCCATATACATTAACCATAGAATTCTGAATTTTAATCTTGTAGTTCCCATTTCTTGTGATTGTTTATTTAAAGATGGGATGGGAAACTTTATAACTTAAATTTTTCATGAGTTCTGATCCATTAGGAATGTTGACCCTTTAACAGTGGTGTTGTTATTTTTTCTCGGCCAGGATTATGTGAGAAAGAAACAATTCTTTTAATCTGTTAGCCTGTGTAATGGATTGGGCAATATCTTGACTTTTGCTCAAAGAGAAAAATATATCATAGTCCAAATTGAGATATATGAATGAAGATATTTTAGTATTTTCATTGAGACAATACAAGAGGAATAAAAGAGAGATAGCCCCAACTAGGCCTACCAAGAGGGGAAGAACCAGGATGGGCTGGTCAGAGGATCCAAGATGGATTTACCACATATGACTGGGCTCAGTTGGTACTGTGGACCCAAGCAGATGTGGTCTCACCAGCGTGACAATCTCAGAATAGCTGTAACACTTTGATGATATGTCTGGACTCCAACAGAAAATGTTCTAAGAGGGCTAGGTAGAAGCTTTAAGACTTTAGTTTCCTGTTGCTGCTATAACAAATCACATATTTAGTAGCTTAAACAATGCAAACTATTCTCTAATGGTTTTGGCTGCCCAGAGTCCAAAATACGGCCTAAAGGACTAAAACCAGTGTCAGCAAGGTTGTGTTCTTCTGGAGGATTCAGAAAAATGTGTGCTTTTTGTCTTCCAGCTTTTAGCACTCCTTGGTTCCTGGCCATATCATTTGAATCTCTGCTTCAGCTGTTGCTTTCTCTTCTTTCTCATTGACCTTTTTGCTTCCCTCTTACAATGAATCTTATGATGGCATTTAGTGCTCAACTGGATAATCAAGGGAACTCTGAAAATCTTTAATCACACCTGGAAAGTCTCTTTGCTATATAAGGTAACATTCACAGGTTGGGGAATTAGTATGTGCACATCTTTGGGATCCATTATTCAGCTTATCACAGATTTGTTATGGCCCAGTCTTGGAAGTCCCCAGAATGTCATTTCTGCTACATGCTATTAGTCAAGAAAATCACTAAGGCCAGTCCAGGTTCAAGGGAAGGGAAATTAGGAGACATGGAATTTCATGTAGTTAATCATAGTTTGTTCCATTTTATCAGTACAATAAAAATAATTTCTGTTGGAAATTTTGTATTATATTTTATTAATGCAGATCATTAAG